ACTTTCGTACAAATGCTTTTTTATCAATTTACGGAACAGATTTCAAGTTTCCTGTTAAAAGTCAAAATTATTCAGGATATTTATACGCAGAACCTGTCATCTATGATAACGAATGCTCTTGTGAAATGTCTTCAAATTGTACAACTCAAGCAGCTTTTATTGAAACAAACTCCTCTAGGGTTATTTCCATCATTGGCATGAAAATGGGATGTACTCCAAGTGACTCATTTCTTGCTTCGACTCTTGAATGTTTCTATAATCGATCGTGTCTTGATGTCATTCAACAATATACTAACTACCCGTATTCTTTAACCCCACTTTTAACGACAAATCTTAGTCGTTTCTCACAGAACACAACAATAACTGAATTTATCAAACACTTATTCATTGAGAAATGGTCAACAAAAATAGATTATCAATCGTATTATGAACAGTGTTCGCCTCTACTATGTTCTCATACCAGTGTCGAAAACTTTGATATAATCTACTCAATTACTGTTATATTAGGTATTCAAGGTGGTTTGAAAATTGTTTTGAATTGGCTTTGTCCAAAACTTGTTCGAATCGCATTAAAAATACATCATTCTCGAAAGAAACGAATAGCTTCTATTCATCCTGATGATTCTTTTGCAATATCGTCCCAAATCTCTACTAACAGGATTATTCAAAATACTGCTTTGATCCGTACAACTAAACCAATGAATCTAACATCACAGTAAATGATCTTTGTTCTTTTTTAATTATAGGGTTCTTTTTTCTTTAGAAATAATCTTATAGCACGTAATCGATCGCTTTTCAAGATATTATTTGTAATAATTGTTCTATGCATGTCAGGGGGTATTGTTATGTTTTCAATTTATTATGCACGACAAGGTAAAAATAAAAGTCTTTTAAGACTCTGTTTCTGCACTCTAGGTCCACCAATCTGACACCGCATCCTACAGGAGCCACTATCAGATTGGTGAATTTGGGAATGATAAACATCATTTAGAGAAAGAATCTGAAATGTTTATTTATTTTTGTTTGATAGATTTGACTACTAATGTGGCGATAACTGATGATTCAAACACAACAATAAGCACAATAATATCGACATCTAACGGAACGTCAACAGGTTAGTTAACATGACAAAACAAAACATCTTCTGAAAACACGACAAATGTGCTAATGATAGGTATAAAGTGAGTTATGTAATTCTATTATATTCTTTAGAGTCCATATGTCAACCTGAATTCGAACGCACATTTATTGATATATTATGTTTCTCTGAAACTCCAAAGGCAATTATTGCTGTCGATGTGAATATTGATGGTGAATTCGATATAATCTTTTACTGTCCTGATAAACAGACATTGCATATATTATTTGGGACAGGCAATAATAGTACATTTAGCGAATCGAACATCTATTCATTTCACAACAATGCGTCGGTTTCTCATATTCTTTCTGGTGATGTGAACAACGACGATCAGATCGATTTAATTTTAGTATATAATATTAGTAATGATGATCATTATCTTGGCGTTTTACTTGGAAATAGTAATGGAACGTTTCAGATCGAAAGTATGCAATCAATAGCTATAACTGGCGTTCCAAAAAACACCTTGTTCGTTGATTTAAATAATGATAAGTTGTTCGATATTATTAGTGTGAATACAGATAATAATCTTCAGGTCATTTTCGGCAATGAAAGTGGAACGTTCTCATCACCATTAACATTGCATAAAGGATATTATATTGAAAGTAAAGATTTAGTTATTGCCGATTTTAATAATGATAGTTATATGGATATTGCTGTATTCGATCAGAGGGATCTCCATATTCATGTGTTTTTTGCTAATGCTAAGAGAAGCTTATGGTCACATAAATGGCTTTTCACTGCAATTAGGATCAACCGTGGTACTTTAGTAAGTGGTGACTTCGATGGTAATAATCAAACGGATATCGTTTTTCTTGCTATGTACTATGAATCTTTTACGAAATTATATCGATACAATAGTAGTACTTTTCGTACTAATGAGCACATTCATACTACTATGGAGAAAGGTACAATAATTGAGTTAGCAGTTGTGGGTGATTTGAATGGTGATCGTTATTTAGACATAGTTATTATGACTGAAGGAGAAAATGATATCTATAGTTTTCTCGGAACTGGATCTGAAAAATTCGAGATCCAACAAACGACTGATTATGTCACACGCGCACTTAGAGCATGGATTGATATTATTGATATTAATCACGATGGTTGTCCAGATATAATTGCTCTAGTTGGTTTTAGTTATGCACGTGATCCAATACTGGAAATTCTTTTGAACACATGTGCATGTTATACACGTGAGATAATTACTATCAGAAAAAATTCAACAGTTGATCAATAATAATGAATTTTCTTGATCAATATTTTATCTTGTATGCTTTATTATAACGCTGCATGAATGTTACAAAATGCGTTCATTCTGCTTTGCTTTTATTCACAATAAAAAAGTATTATTATAGATGTAAAAAGAAAAAAATCGTCTACGCACACTATCAACACTTAGCATTGCAGGATGAGGGTGAAAGTGAGTACAACTCTTCAGTTGGCTTTCTATCTACAGCATATCAGATTCTTTCAAGTCTCATCAGAGATATTGCAAAAAAAAACCAATTCAAATAAAAGCAAATCAATTTGCTAGTTTTAACTCTTGCTTTTCAGCAATCGATACTTGTCGAATAAAAATAACTTTATTTGTTAATAAGAGTAAAAGATATGTGGTGTGTAACATTGCTGACGCGTTTCGCGTTTTTATTTTAAATAAACGACCGCTCTTCAGCCCAATACATCACTCATAAAACATAAATAGCAAGAGATAGAAAATAACGTAGGAAAAGTTAGTACCATATTCGTTTCAGAACTTGTGTTACGTGGTTCGTTCCTTTTCATAGTGAAAGTATAGACGTAATTCTCTTAGTGTATACTCTTCTGACCTGTCCGAGCATCACGTATTAGGGCGTGGGTGTGGTTGTGACTATAGGTTTGAGTACGGAGATGGGTGTGAAAGAGAAGACTCACACTCACACCCACCTCGACACCCACCCACACCCTCTCAACATACCTCTTGGAAGTTCTTGAGAGTGAGGGTGAGGGTGAGGGTGAGGGTGTGAACCAGCTGAGAACAGATCAAACCTATCTCTTAACGAAAAGACAAGTGTAATCTGCTTATGTCCAACTCTTGCTTTTCAGCAATCGATGTTGTTCTTTTGTCTGAATGAATGAATGAAGATCTTGAAGTAATGTGCTTTGTAAATATATGGAAAAATGCAGAATTTGTTCACCGACGCGTTTCGTATTATTTATTGAAATAAAAAATACTCATCAGGGCTCTGCATTATAAAAAAACAAATTCACAAATGGAAAAAGTTCACAAATAGACAAAGTGTGGGCACATATGAGAGAAAACACAACAAGTTAAATGATAATTGGTAGATAAATTCCAGATGATTTTCTTGTTCCAACTGTATTTCGAATTGAAGCCAAACGTGGATCAGTTGGATTAGAAATGAATATTTGGCAAATTGTCGATATCAACCAATGGACCATCTTAAGATACGAGGATTGAAATATATTTATTGTCGTTGAAAAAGCCAAATGAAAGCATTGAAATCAAATTCGGATTAAAGCCGACAATAAATAAAAATGAATTTAGAATAATTGGCATGGTGCCAGATAACTGTATTTCATTTTTAGGAGAGTGGAGGCCATTAGTTTTGAGTAATTGGCAGGAAGCCAAATGACCATATTTGTTGTGTAAATATATCCTGCTATTGATCTAATTTTTGTTCGATCGAGCAAGCATTGCGATAATGAATTGATCTATTTGAATACGATTCATCAATACATTTAATATATTCTTTTGAACAAGATCATTTTTTGGCACCAATCCAAAGTTTTGTTGATGATTACAAATTGAATAGTTGGCAGATTGCCAAATAACCGGAGAAATTGATAATGAGCTGTTATCTGAAAGGTAAATCGATCTGCTGCTGTCTTTAATTGTTTGCGATTATGAACCAGTATGCACTAAACGCTTTTGTAAGTTGTCGACATTTTTGGTTCCTAATATTGGAGTAATTTCATTAATTGGGGAATCGCCAAAATATTTATGCCACAAGTTATGGAATTTCGTAGGGAATGACTTCATATTTGTACAATAAGTAAAATGAATGAACATCATCTTTCCATGGTCAAATGGTGTTCTATCTCTTGAGGGGTGAGATGATTGAATTAATTGATCTCTTAGTCTTTCGTAATTTCTAATACTAAGTTGATCATTAATTTCAAATTTNCAAATATGAAGTCATTCCCTACGAAATTCCATAACTTGTGGCATAAATATTTTGGCGATTCCCCAATTAATGAAATTACTCCAATATTAGGAACCAAAAATGTCGATAATTTACAAAAACGTTTAGTGCATACTCGTTCATAATCGCAAACAATTAAGATAGCAGTGGATTGATCTACCTTTCAGATAACAGCTCTTTGCAAAATCACTTATGTTGTTGGATCAATGCCAAAACTGGATTCTATACATTTTTAGATCAACTTCGCCGGTAACTTGGCAATCTGCCAACTATTCAATTTTATTTATATAAGAAAAGAAATCTTATGTTAAAGATTGAATAACTTCAACCAATGATTCGGCTGTCCTCTTATTCCTCAAATTGTGTTCACTCACTGCTTTAATACATATTTTCCCGATTATGAAAATCAATCTATCTGATCATTTGGCAAATTGCCAACCATTCAAATTTGAACAGCAATTTATCCGAATCGAACCAGGTTAAAAATTTGAATAAATCATCATATATGGCCTTATTATCAAATAAATATCTTGATGACCTTATTAATGAACAACTCAATAGTGTCCCTTAAAAGTTCGATGTCCACGATATAGTTAATGTCACCAACTGTAATTTAATGCTCAAGGAGACTAGTTGTACTACTGGATCAATTCGGAAATTAGATTCCAGAATTAGACATAGTAACACGAGTCACTTTATTTAAATTATCAAAAGATTTAATCATATAACGGATAAATCCTGACGACATTATTGGATCAATGCCAAGATAATTTATTGATGAATCGTCTGAATACTACCTACAAATTGAACGGATAGGGATCTGATCTATTAAATGATTTCTCAAAACATTCATCTGGGAACAACCGAACTGAACTTAAAAATTGGATTCCCCTCTCTCTTTCGACATTATGACTATAAACAAAACTTTGGATTGGTGCCAAAAAATGACCTTGTTCAAAAGAACATATTAAATGTATTGATGAATCGTACTCAAATAGATCAATTCATTATCACAATACTTGATTGATCGAACAAAACTTAAATCAATTCGCAGAATATCTTTATACAAAAAATATGGTCATTTGGCTTCCTCCCAATTACCCAAAATTAACGACCTCCACTGATTCGCACTTGTTTCAACTCGAAATAAAGTTAAGAGAAGAAAATCGTCTCCAATTCATCTACCAATTATTAGAAATATCCAATATACATGAACAACATTCTTTTTACCTCTGACTTGTTGTTTTTTCTAAAATGTGCTCCCACTTTTTTCATTTTTGTTTTTTATAATGCAGAGCCCTGATGAGTATTTTTTTATTTCAATAAATAATACGAAACGCGTCGGTGAACAAATTCTGCATTTTTCCATATATTTACAAAGCACATTACTTCAAGATCTTCATTCATTCATTCAGACAAAAGAACAACATCGATTGCTGAAAAGCAAGAGTTGGACATAAGCAGATTACACTTGTCTTTTCGTTAAGAGATAGGTTTGATCTGTTCTCAGCTGGTTTACACCCTTGTTAATAGATCGTACCTATATATTTTATTTGGTTTAAGAATAGAAAAATGCTTTAAATAAATTTAAATGTTATATTCTTTATATTTACTTGAATAAATTCATTGATATAAGTGTAGAAGCCTTGATGTTAATTTTATATTCCATCTAGTTCTAAAAAATTTAATTGAAATGTTGATTTTTCTATCACTTAAGCAATATATATAGTCAGACTCATAGGATACTATTTTAAATTTTCATATTAAAGATTATTCCTACAATAGTATTGATTCATCTTTTTTTTGTAGGCCATTCAAAGTGTTCGATTAGCTTATATTGAAAAAAATACATCAATCGAAAATAGAATATTTCATGCATGGTTTGTAGTTTTTATCTTTCGCCTATGGTTTTTGTGGATAAATTCTATGAAAAAAAATGAACTCGACTTACTTTATACAAAATTATCTGGTTTACATATATCTGATTCACAAAAGAATAAATCAAAATGAAAGTATTTCATTACATATCAATCTTATTTTTCTGCAGAAATAAATGCACATTCACTTACATATTTTGTTATACTTGTGTCAGAAGAAAAACTTTCTCCTGAAGCTCTTCATACTTGGTTACAGACTTCTCAAACTCGTGAGAGCACTTTTCCTACAGCTAGAACCATATCTAGTATCAATTCGGCCGGTGTTAACTTTACTATTGTACAATTTTTAAACCGCATTAACAAATTATGTACATTGAATGATATTAAAATTCATGCCAATGATAATAAACTAACGTTTCCAAAACATCATAAAGTGCCTTCAACATCACAAGGTACTGTAAATACATCAAGTTCAAAAATTATGTCAAAAAATGGTATTGCAAATACTGTTGCAAGTGCATTTAAATATGCAGCTGACTTTTTTAAACCTTTAAAAATAGAACTAAACTCAAATAGATCACTTCATTATCACAATACTTGATTGAT